AAGTTGTGCTCATCTCAGGCAAAATACAGGAATTGATGGCATATGACAAAAAATTTTTTTCTTCACGGAAGCTAGCAAAAGGAGACAGAAAGGGAATACAAGGTGAGAGAGATGGTTTATCACTATCCTTTCCATTCAAGATGTATTTTTCAAATAACAAGAATATATTTAGGTTTGACTGTATATAGTACTTTGGTAAATGATGGGGAAAAAATACAAAAGAGGAGTAACATGATCTCTGCCCTCTAATAACTGACCCTCTTATTAAGAAGATTCATTTGAAATAAGGAGAGAACTCTATCAAACAACCTCCCTTTCTTCTTTTTTTTTCTGCACAGAAGTTTTCTAAAAGATTTTTCAATACATAGGGATCTATAACATAATTATTCTCTTTTTTTTAAAAGGCTCTGTTATGAAAGTTTTCAAATATTTATAAAAGTTGAGAAAAATAGTGTAATGAACCAAATCCACCATACCCAGCCCCTAGATTTAACAGTGATCATTTTGTCATAATTTGCTTGGTTGATCTCTCCTTTCTCCTCCCTCCCTCCCTTTCTCTTTCTTTCCTCTAGCATTTTAAAAGAAATTTATGACATCATGCATTTTTATTCCAAATCCTTCTGTATTATAACATTTTTAAATACCTGTATATTTTTATTATATGTATAATATACACTATTTCATATTATAATATGCCTAACCAATCCTCTAATGATGGGCACTTTAATTATTATTCATTACTATAGTTGCTTATAATAATACTTCCTGGAATTTTTTTTTTTTTTAAGAGAAAGAGGAAGGGAGAAGGAGAGAGAGAAATATCGATGAGAGAGAACATTGATTGGCCACCTCCTGCACGCCCCTCACTAGGGATCAGGCCCACAACCTGGGTATGTGCCCTGACCTGGAATCAAACCGGCGACCTCTTGGTGCATGGGTCAGTGCTCAACCACTGAGCCACACTGGCCAGGCATGGAATATCTTTATATGCCTATATCTTTTTAACATCTTTATGCATGCATCTTTCTCACGTGTCATTCTCTTGGTATATAATTTCCAGGAAATGAGGTTGCTGAGCAAAGTGTATGCACCTTATACAAATTGTTCATAATACCACCTGATCTTCCGAAATTCTTATTCCCATCAGTAGTGTGCCTGTTTATCTTTGCTGATCTGGTCTTTTTCAGTCCATTAATTTTGCCAATCTCCTAGTAGCATAGATTTTTTTTTTAATATTCATGTATAAAAATTATTAATGAGGCTTGGGCATCTTTATTCATATTATGGACCATTTATTATATTTCTTCTTTGGTGTGTTCAGGCTAATCTTTTATAAATATCACTTTTATTATTTTACTTATTTATTCAAAAACCCTGGCTAGTGTGGCTCAGTTGGTTTGATCCCTGGCCGGGGTGCATACAGGAGGCAACTGATTGATGTTTCTCTCTCACATCATTGTTTTTCTTTCTCTCTCTCTCAAGTCAATAAAAATATATCCTTGGGTGAGGATTTAAACTAATAATAATTAGTAAACAAAAGCAATAGTATCATTATGTCCTATCTCTGAGTTTCAAGACCCTTCATAATTTTGCCTTAAACTATTTTTCTAACTTAATACTGTCCTGCAACAGTCATTCTCCTCCAATAAGGAATATTTCCTCATTCATATATCTCATTCTACTCATTTTTTTTCTTGGATTCATTTCTGAATAATATTTTACCTTCTTTTTAAAATGTTTTACTTATACTTTTCTTATATTCTGCCTGTTAAATCCTTCAGAATTCTTATAGCCCACTGTGCAATAAAGTTGCCCCAAATTCTCTAATTTTCATCAATTTTCTCTTATTGATTTCCCACTGTACCTATTTATTGTTTCTACCACTTGATTTAGTAGGATATTGTAGACTGGTTTGTTGTGTTATTTTATCAAACTCCAACTGTACTTGAGGCCATGCATACATAGCTATGGACAGAAAAGTCTCTGTTCTTAAGAAGTTTATGGTGTAGTAATGATGGATTTATTTTCACTTCGTTGCTTTATTGATGAGGTTGAATTTCTTTTCATATGCCTCTGTTACATATGAAGTATGCACATTTTTAGATATATAATTAATTGTATTTCCCCGCTGGATTATAAAATCATTGAGGATATAAACCATGTATTATACTTCTGTATTCCTTATACCACTTAACTCATTTCTGAATCTGTGCTTGCATTTAGTCATTACTAAATATATACTTACTTTGTTTGTTTTTTATTTATTGATTTTTTGGAAGGGAGTGGGAGAGAGAGAGAGAAACATTAATGAGAGAGAACATTAATTAATTGGCCACCTCCTGCATGCCCCCCACTGAGGATTTGGCCAACAACCTGGACATGTGCCCTGACCAGGAACCAAATTGGTGATCTCTTGGTGCATGGGTTGACACTCAACCACTGAGCCACACCATCTGGGCTATACCTGCTTTGTTAATGTAGTAACGAAAGTTGTAGGCTGTGGAGTCACATACCTGACCTTTTTCTTTCTCTCTCTCTCAAGTCAATAAAATATATCCTTGGGTGAGGATTTAAACTAATAATAATTAGTAAACAAAAGCAATAGTGTCATTATGTCCTATCTCTGGTTTCAAGACCCTTCATAATTTTGCCTTAAACTATTTTTCTAACTTAATACTGTCCTGCAAGAGTCAGGACCTTATAAGGTACCTGTACAGCATTTGCAAGTTACTTAGCCTCTCCAAGCTTATTTCCTCATATATTATATATCTACCTCATAAGGTTTTTATGTAGGTTAAACGAGATAATGTATGTAAACCATTTAACACAATGTTTGGTACAGAGTAAGTTCTTATGAAAACATACCTGTTATTGTAATTTATTTAACCTCTCCAGCTAGGAACTGCTTCCTCATTCTTTTATTTCCTTAAGTCCTTTGTCTAAGCAGTTAACCAAATGCTGCACAGCTTACTTCATTATTCTTTCAGTCTAGCCTCTCCTTTTAATCTGCATCGTAACCCACAATAAGAAATACATTTAATATTTCTTATTGTGTTCATTTGCAAATATTTGAAGCAAAAGTTCTATGAAATAATATTAATTGTTATTATTGGTGATGCAGTGTGATTTTTTGTTCTGTCCCGTATTATTTAAAAAAAAAAAAAAAAAGCTGTGCCCTGGCCAGTGTGGCTCAGTTGGTTGGAGTGTCCTCCCATGCACCAAAGAGCCGTGAGTTCATTTCACAGTCAGGGCACATACCCAGATTATGAGTTAAGTCCCCTGTCACAGCACATTTGGGAGGTGACCCATCAATGTTTCTCTCTCTCTTCCACCCCTTCCTCTACCTCTAAAAAGAGAAAAATCAATGAATCGAATCCTTAGGAGAGGATTTAAAATAATAAAAATAATAATAAATAAATAAAAGCTGGTCATAGCCATTAAAAGTGATTTCAAAACAGTTTGAAAAACACTGGTCTAGAATTTGGGAATCTGCAAAATTTGGACTAGGACTGAACTGGATGTTCAAGTGTAAATTTTCAATAAAATAACAGAAATAAAGTGACTGGGACTTGGAGCTTATTTCAGTTGCACTTTTTTCCTTCTTCATTAGTTATATATAATTAATTTGCCTATTCTTAATCTGGTTTTGCTGCTGAAGGTGGGAGTGTTTAGTTGCATTTTCCACATATAGAATGAGATTATTCAGCAGTTGGTGCGGCAGAAATTTCTCAACCACTTCATATGTGTAATGTTTTCCTTAGGACAGAAATTAACATACATAGATTTTAAAGTCATTAGCATAATTCTCAAAGAGAAACCTGAGAAAAACTTTTTATTATGGAAATTTTATGAGGGCCACATTGAACACTAAACCCTGGCCATCTATTTGAAGTGTTTCAACAGCCTTGAATGCCAGTCCCTCTGCTACCCACTCAGTACCACCTACCTTGCTGCCATTTAACTGATCTTTTTAAAATAACTTGGGGGAAATAGAAGGTCATTACATGTGTCCTCTGTTGAAACTCTTTATTCTTTTTTTCTCTACCTCTAGAATAAAATCCCAAACCATAGTTTTTCATTCATGATCTGGCTCTAGCCTACCCTTCTAGCTTTCTCTTCCACTGTCTGTCTCTTCCCTACAACATTCACCTTATTATTCCTAGAATACTCAATCCTTTTAGCACTTGTACTTATTTTTCAAGATCTACCTTAAATTTCATCTTATGGATGAGACCTTTTTAACTATCCCCAAAAAACAAGTATGTAGCTCCTTTGATTGCTTTTATTGGGGGGGGGGGGTTGCCACTTAACTGAGTCATTTATTAGTTTAGGTTTGCTTCCATCTTCACTGTTAAGTAGTGATCTCCTCCAAAGCAATGGTTATATATTACTCTTCTTAGTCTCCTAAACACTTCTTTGGTGCCCATACATAGTAGGTATCCAACAATGGTTTATTGATGGAATGTATGAGTACTTTTGGGATTTTAGAATCTATCCCTGGCCAGTGTGGTTCAGTAGGCTTAGCGTCATCCCATGAACCGACGGGTCACTGGTTCCATTCCTGGTCAGGGCACAAATTTCTCTCTCTCTCCTTCTCTGTTCATTTCTCTCTCTAAAATCAATAAAAACATATTTTAAGGGGGGGGGGGGGCTTTAGAATCTAATTCCAACACAGCTTCTCTCCAAGAGTTCATCAAAGTTATTTTTTCATTTTGTTTTGAGTGTGTGTCATTTTTTTCCTTCCCTCCTGTGGGGGATTTTGTTAAAATTTCTAAAGAGAACCTAAGTTCTGTAGCCTTTTCCTTAGGGGAAAATATACTTTGGTAAACTAGTATAGAATATCTATCTTCAACATTTCTGTGAAGGTAAGTAAAATCTACTTTTTGTATACTTAACTCTTTGCTGTTGTTGAAAAATACAGTTTTATGGAGCTGTAAACAAAATGAAGTGGAATAAATTTGTGTTTATAATAGTCTTGACCAATTCTTTATCTATTTCAGCTCATGGAATGCTGTGTAAATGCCCTGGTGACATCCTTTAAAGAGACTATCTTAGCAGAATGCCAAGGCATGATCAAGCGTAATGAAACTGAAAGTAGGTAAAATATGACTTAAAGTTCTCATAATCTTTTAAGAGGGTATCTTTGAGACAGATCACTTTTAATAAATTGCTCTTAGATCATTCTTTTATACATAGGTGTATTTGTTAAAGTAAACTGTGCTTAAAGAAAATGATAAAATATTTAGCACAGTTAAAAGCACTGAGAAGATGATCATAAACTTATATGTTAAGCATTCCTCCTCCTTAGGTAGAAATATGTGCACAAAAGCACATGTGTGTATTTCAGTTGGTTCTTTGAAGTAGGACTCTGTTTTTAACAGCGAATGTAAATGGTAAACATGGTATGGGATAGAACTAGGTATCTGACTTGTGTGTGGAACCTTGTAGCAAATATTTTTAGAAAGTAATAAAACACTGTATGTTAATATTCATCCTTCTCCCCAAAACTACTTTACAATTTAAAATTTTAGAAGTTGTTTTTTTTTATTACTTAAATGTTTTCTTAATAAAGATGTATTTTGAGAGGGTGGCAAGTACACTACCAAAAGGAGTATAGTGCCCTGGCCGGTTTGGCTCAGCGGTTGGAGCGTCGGCCTGCGGTACAGAGAGACCCGGGTTCGGTTCCCGCTAAGGGCACGTACTTTGGTTGCAGTTTGTCCCCGGCCCTGGTTGGTCGTGCGGGTGGCAGCCACTCGATGTGTCCCTTCACGTCGATGTTTCTCTCTCTCTCTCTCCCTTCCTCTCTCTCCCTCCCACTCTATCTGAACAAAAAATGGAAAAATATCCTCGGGTAAGGATAAAAAAAAAAAAAAAAAAAAAAAAGGAGTATAGTATAAATATCCCTGCTACCCAGAGATAACCACTTTTAACATTTTGATGTATTCCTCTCCAGATTTTATTGTGTACAATTGCAAGATCTCATTTAATCTCTAGTTGCATTTAAAGCATGTCTTTTATTTTTTTTAATTAATTTATTGTTTTATTTGCAGATGCCCCACCTTTTTCCTTCATTGACACCCTCCTGTCTGCCTTCACCGAACTGTTGTCTGTGTCCATTGGTTATGCATATATGCTTATACGTTCTTTGGTTTATCTTCCCCCCTCCCCTTCCCTCTGAGTTTGTCAGTGTTTTCCCTACTTCCATGTCTCTGGGTCTATTTTGTTCATCATTTAAAGCATGTATTTTAATTCAATTAAGTTCTTACACTTTTTAGAAGTAATTTTATAGTGAAAAGCAAACTGCTCATTGGCATAAATGAAATATTGGAGTCTGTATGCCAGGCTAAGTAGAGTTATATCTGATCCATTTTGGACTCCCTCCAAAAGAATTTGTGTAGTAACAACCAGTTCTGTGAAGTAAGATTTTTGTAAAGGTCAGTTAAATGATATAACATGAAAAAATGCTTTTGAACACTGAAAAATTCTTTATGAATACAACTTTATATTATCACTAATAGAATTATATTTTATAATCATTTCTTGGAAAAATCTTATGACTATGTTTTTACCCCTTAGTGATGTGGTAGTGTATTGAATATTATATCTACTTCATAAAATGTGCTAATGTTCTGCATAAAGTTTTGTACTTCTTAGAATAAAAAATATTCCATGTGTTGACAGATCTATTTTTTAAAAGAGTTGGGTTTTGCAGTGTGTTATCACTTTTAATTAGAGTTTCTTTTAAAAATAGGTGAATCAGGAAGTTACAGTACTTATTATAACAACTCCTGAACTAATTGTACCCACAAACTCTTACTATCATAAGCATTCTAGATCCATGATACAAATCAAAGAGAAAATTTATTCTGATGGTTGAAATGATTACATGAGTATATTGTATCCTTTCAGAATTACACTTAATGTTTTCATTGATGGACAAAGTTCCTAATGGGATAGAGCCAATGTTGAAAGACTTGGAGGAACATATCATTAGTGCTGGCCTGGCAGATATGGTAGCAGCTGCTGAAACTATTACTACTGTAAGTTTTCCTCAATGGCAATGATAGATGTATATCAAGTTTGTTTTTTAAATGGAGGTTTGGGTATTTAAAACAATAATTGATTGAAAAACAATGGTATTTAAACACCTTTTAATTTTAAGGAAAAACTTTCAGAAAATTTCCCAAATTTTAAGGCTACAGTGTTTTATTAAAATTATGTTTATATTTTCTCACGTTTTTGTATTGTTCTTTTTTTTAAAAAAAAACAAACTCAGTTGAATATAAAACATTTTATTTTTAGGACTCTGAGAAATATGTTGAGCAATTACTTACACTATTTAATAGATTTAGTAAACTCGTCAAAGAAGCTTTTCAAGATGATCCACGATTTCTTACTGCAAGAGATAAGGTATATATTCTTGTATATTAACACTGCTATCATTATTATTATTATTTTAGATTTGGAAAGATACTGTTTACTGAATAAAAGCAAAGTAGAGAAGATTAGAGCATGATTCTGTTTATGGAAAATAGAAAGGATATGCATTATCTACTTTGCCTATCACATGTCATAATTTGCTTTTAATCAGAAACTTGCATCATTATACTATTAAATTACCCTGATTTTTCATCAGTCAAGGGCAACCATATTTATTATATTTGGTTTGTTGCATGTTTTTGTAAGCATTGGATATACTTGTGAACTAGAATTTAGCCCAGAAAATGTTCTTCCTCATTTTTCCAGTAATGTTTTTCTGATTTTTAATATTATTGAAATATTAAATTAAATGGCCTGCAAAGGCTTCTCTGAGGTCACATTTGAATCAAGATTGAGGGTGATTAGGAATAAGTCATGTGGCTGTCTGAGGGAACAGTGCTCCAGCTGGAGCAGTTGCTCTAAGGCAGGAATGTACCAATCATGGCCAGAGTGGATTGAGTGCGGGGGAGAATAGTAGCAAATAAAGTCGAAGAGGTAGGAGGAAGCCAGGTCATGTAAGGCTCTGTGGGCCATCACTTTTACTCTGCATAGGGTTTGGAAAGTCATTGAAAGCTTTTGAAGAAAACTACAGGACCAGACTTACATTTTAACAGGATCACCTGGCTGCTGAATAGACTGAAGTGGGGCAAGAGAAGAAGTAAGAATATCAGTTAAGAAACTATTTAAGTGATCCAATTAAGGAGTAATGATGGAAGCTTGGCCCAGAACAATAGTGGGTACAGGTAGTCAAAAGTAGTTGAATTCTGATTACATTATGAAAATAGACTCTACAAGATTTGGTAATGAATCAGATATAAAGGATGTGATAGAATGAGCTCATTTCAGGATTTCACTCAGCTTTTTGTCCTATCAATTAGAAGCATATACTTGCTGAGATGGGAAGACTTTGAAAGAAGCAGGTTGGGGAGAGATGGTTGCAGAGAGATTAGGAATTCAGTTGTAGACAAGTTAACTTTGACATGTTTATTAAACATTCATATAGCAATGTCAAGTCTGGAGTCTAAGGGAGAGAATGGGCTTGGAAAAAATAAATTTGGGAGCTTCAGCACATAGGTGGTAATTAAAACACTGACAACTGACTGTGATCACCAACATAATGAGTGAGAATAGAAGAGAGATCCATAAACTGGCCTGGTGCATTCTAAATTTAGTTATCAGAAAAATGAGGAACCATCTTTCACGAGGGAAGAGGAGAATGAGTGGAATGACCTGAAGAGTTTGGTGTACTAGAATACAAATGGAAAAAGCACTTTCAGGAAGAGGGCTTGATGTGCTATTTTAAATGCTCCTGACAGCCCTGGCCAGTTTGGCTCAGCTATTAAAGCGTCAACCCGTAGACCAAAGGGTCTCAGGTTCAATTCCCGGTCAAGGGCATGTACCTGGGTTGCAGGTTCAATCCCCAGCCCTGGTCAGGGGAATTCGGGAGGCAACCAATCGATGAGTCTTTCTCACATCGATGTTTTTCTCTCTCTCTCTCTCTCCCCCTCCCTCCCTTCCACTCTATCTAAAAATTAATGGAAAAATATTCTTGTGAGAGGATTAACAAAAAGTAAAAAATTATTAAATGATAGGTCATGATAGGTCAGATAAGATGGGGGTTAATTATCTTCAGCAACAAGGAAGTTGTGAGTGACTCCACCCAGAACAATTGGTGGAGTAGGTGTGAAAGCCTGGTTGGAATGGTTTCCAGTAAGAATGGCAGTGAGAAACGGTAGAAAGGGAGGGAGTTCCTCCAGTAGTTTAGTTTAAAAAGAGAGAAATGGGGCAGTAGCTGAAAGTGGACAAAGCCGAGAGAGAATTTTTAAGATTTAAAAAATAATATATTTGTATGCTGGGGCTACAGAAACAATGGAGAAAGAAAAAACTCGTGATGCAAGAGAAATAGGAGGGAATTCTGATCATTAGCTTTCTCAGTGAAATAGGAAACTACATCATCAGCCAAGAGTGTACATGAAGGAGGAAATATTGGAGGTTTGATGAGAAAAGAGATAGTATGAAAATGTTTTCCAGGATGATGTGTGGACAAGAGAAAATGTTATTGTTAAGCAGCATTAAAATCCCAAGGGGCTTGAGGATAATGATAATCATAAAATGACAAAGAGTATGCTGAAGTCATTGACGTAAAAAATCCTAACAGGCCAGATACACCATTAAAAATAAAAACTAATTTATATTTTTATGTATTTTTGGAATTGTAACAGTTTAACTATATTTTAAATATCAAAAAGAATGTTTATATTTTATTTTAAATTATTATTTACAGGCATATAAAGCAGTTGTTAATGATGCTACTATATTTAAACTTGAATTACCTTTGAAGCAGAAAGGGTAAGTTTTTTTAAAGTCATGTTTAAAATTCTTAAATTTTTGTAGTGTCTTATATGTTATTGGGTATGCAAAGTGCCCTATTTTCTAATCCTATTAGGTTTGGGTTTTTGTTTTTGTTTTGTTTTGTTTTTTTACTTTTATGATTTTTGCAGCATTTGATTATTAAAACTGTCTTGGTTTTTAATTTTCTATTAAGTTATCTATCTCTCTTTATAACCAAAAAAAAGTTAGCCTTATTTTTTAAGTAGAAAAAATGTTTTAGTTTTTTTATTTTTAAATTACAGTTTAGCGCTGCCAGTGTGGCTCAGTGGATTGAGCATTGTCCCATAGATTGAGAGGTCCTGATTTGATCCCTGGTCAGGGCACATGCCCAGTTTGTGGGATCAGTCCCCGTAAGGGGTATGCAGGAGGCAGCCCATAGATGTTTCTCTCTCACATTGATGTTTCTTTCTCTCTCTCTCCCTTCCTCTCTCTCTAAAAAATCAGTAAAAACATACATATTTTTTTAAATGTACAGTTTACATTCAGTATTATTTTGTATTAGTTTCAGATGTACAACATAGTGGTTAGATAATCATACTTTACAAAATGTTATGCCCCCATAGATGTTTCCAGTACCCACTTGGAAAATGTTTTATTCTTTCTTTCAGAATCTCTATTTGATTGTTTTTCTATCCTCATTAGTCACTAAACTTATTACCTATAAAAGCATAGAATATGACTCAATTCATCATAAGGATAAAAAATGGAAATCAATTTTAATGTAAATTTTTATTTACCATTTTTTAAAAATTGATCTGTCGTTGGCAGGATGAATTTACTTGTGCTAAGCACTATTATATTAAATAGAAAAATCAGAAAATCAAAATTTAATAAAATAGTAATAAATCTGAGCTACTTATAGTATCTTCAGAGTAGTGCTAAGTAGCAGAAGGTTAATTGGAAATATGTTTTGATGTCATTTCTAGCTGAGAATTGCTATTTTAAAGAGATTTCATACTTAATGGTAAAACATTTTATTGTTTTGATTTTTTCTTTTAGAGAGGTGGGAACGGGAGAGAGAGAGAGAAAGAGAGAAACATTGATGTGAGAGAGGTCCATCGATCAGTTGCCTCCTGCATGCTCCCTGGTCTGTGATAATACCCAAAGTCTAGGTATGTGCCCTGACCTGGAATGGAACCCACGGCCTTCAGGGCACAGGACAGTGCTCCAACCAACTGAGCCACAGTGGCCAGGGCAGTGTTAAAATATTTTTAAAATAGCATTTCTGTCCTGGCCGATTTGGCTCAGTGGTTAGAGCGTCGGCCCACGGACCGGAGAGACCCGGGTTCGGTTTCCGCTAAGGGCATGTACCTTGGTTGCAGTTTGTCCCCAGCCCCAGTTGGGGTTGTGTGGGTGGCAACCAGTCGATGTGTCTCACATCAATGTTTCTCTCTCTCTCTCCCTCCCTCTCTCCCTTCCGCTCTATCTGAAGATAAATGCAAAAAAATGTCCTCGGGTGAGGATTAAAAAAAGAAAAAGAAAAAATAAATAAATAATTAAAATAGCATTTCTTAAGAAGAAAAGTTCAGCACTGACTGGGTAGCTCAGTTGGTTAGAATGTCATCATGATACACCAAGGTTGCTGGTTTGATCCCCATCACATACAAAAATCAACCAATGAATGCATAACTAAGTGGAACAACAAATTAATGTTTCTTCCTCTCCCCTCTCCTCTCTCCCCTCTCTCCTCTAAAATCAATAAATAAAATTTAAAGAAAAAAGTTTAGGATTTTTAAATTTTATTTGAATCATTTTTAGGGTTTTTTTTGTTTTGTTTTGTTTTGTTTTGTTTTGTTTTGTTTTGTTTTGTTTTGGCTATATAAGTAATTAGAATAATATTACAGTGAAAGATACCTGAATCATGTAGTATTATAGTAATTGACATAGTCTAGAAGGGCATTTATTGTGTTTTCTGTAAATGGTGAAATATATGAACTATATAACACTACATATTAGAGACCTCTTCATATTAATGCAGAAGGTCTTTCTCATTCTCCCCTGGCCCAGCATTTTATTTTATTGATTTGAGAGAGAGAGAGAGAGGAAGGAAAGGAGGGAGAGAGGGAGGTAGGGGAAGAGAGAGAGAGTCAAACATCAATTTGTTGTTCCCCTTACTTATGCATTCATTGGTTACTTCTTGTATGTTCCCTGACAGGGGATCGAACCTGCAACCTTGGCATATAGGGGCAATGCTCTAACCAACTAAGCTACTCCTCCAGGGTCTGTCCCAGCATTAAGAAAATTATTTTTTAAAACTTACAGTAAAGTTTCTCTGTTGCTTATCAAATATGTATCTCTCTATACATTCATCAGTCAACTATTAAAATACATTTCAAAAGAAGTTTCAGGCATCAATAACCTTTATTCCCTAAACACTTCAGCATGCAGTTATAAAATTGAATTTGGTGTTTTATTGGTTTTGAGGGTGTTTTTTAAATAAAATTTACCTGCAGTCATACATAAATCTTATGTGTACAATTTTGTGAGATTTGAGAAATACCTATACCCCTATTAAGATATACAACATCATCCTTGAGAGTTACCCTTATGCCCTTTCTCAGTCAGCCCCACCACCACCTCTTGTAGAGACAACTGTTGTTCTGATTATTTTAACATGAGTTAATTTTGCCTGATCTAGGACTTCATATAAATGAAATTATACAATATGTGCATTTTTGTGTAAAGCTTCTTCCAGCATTGTGTTTTTGAGATTCATCCATGTTTTGGCATATCACAGTTATTTGTTTTCCTAAGTGATTGTACTGTTTTACACTCCCACCAACAACGTATGAAAGTACCAGTTGGTCCTCATTCTCCATTCGTTTAGTGTTGTCATTTTAATTTTAGTGTTGTTGGATGTAAGTAGTGATATCTCATTGTAGCTTTAATACCCATTTTCCTCATGAATACTGGTGTCGAGCACTTTGTTGTGTATTTTTTGAAATTATATTTTCTTTTTTTTTTTATCCTCACCCGAGGACATTTTTCCATTTTTTGTTCAGGTAGAGTGGGAGGGAGAGAGAGGAACAGAAAGAGAGAGAAAAACATCGATGTGAAAGGAACACATCGAGTGGCTGCCACCCGCACAACCGACCAGGGCCGGGGACAAACTGCAACCGAGCTACGCGCCCTTAGCGGGAACCGAACCCGGGTCTCTCAGGACCGCAGGCCGACGCTCTAACCGCTGAGCAAAACCGACCAGGGCTGAAATTATATTTTCTTTTATAAAGCATTCAAATTTTTGGCCTTTATTTTTTTTTTCTCATTGGGTTGTTTTTTATTAGTGAACTGTAAGAGTTCTTATATATTCTGTATACAGGTCCTTTGTAAGATATATGCTTTTTTTTTCCCCAATGGTTTTTGCTTTCTGTGTATTGTTTTGAAAATCTTTGTCTACCTCTACCTTTAGGTCATGAAGATAATCTTTTGTTTTCTTCTCAAAGCTTTCTAATTTATGTTTTCACATTAGCTCTAAGATCTATCTTAAATTAATATGTGTAGTGTACATTAGAGGTTAACTTCTTTTTTCTTTACCTTGTGAGTACCAAGTGGTTTCATCACCATTTGGTTTTTGTTTGTTTGTATTTTTAAATATGTTTTTATTGATTTTTTTTAGAGAGAGAGGAAGGGAAAGAGGAAAACATTGATCGGCTACCTTCTGGACGCCCCCTACTGGGGATTGAGTCCAAAACCCGGACATGTGCCCTGACTGGGAATCAAACAGGGACCTCTCAGTTCATGGGATTATGGTCAGTCAGTCCACTGAACCACACTGGCCGAGCTCATCACCATTTGTCAGAAATATTTTCCATTCCCCACTGCATTGCTTTGGTGCCTTTTGTCAAAAATCAAGTGACTTAATTATGTGTATGTTTTTGGGGGCTCTTTGTTCTATTCCATTGATTTATTTGGGTATCCTTAGGCTATGACCACATATTTTGATTAATATACTTTTGTAGTATGTCTTGAGGTCAGGTAATATAATTTTGTTCTTTTTTTCCATGAGTGCCTTTGATATTCTAGTATTTGCTAGTATAGACAACATGGTTGATTTTTGTATATTTATCTTATATACTGTTACCATGTTAAAGTTACAGTAGTTGTTTTGTTGATTTCTTCAGGTTTTCTATGTAACAATCACATAATCTATGGAAAAAGACAGTTTTAATCCTTCCTTTCTGATATTTATCACTTATTTCTTTTTCTTGCCTTGATGCACTGGCTGGGATCATAAGTACAGTGTTGAATAAAAGTAGTAAGAGTAAGCATCCTTGCCTTTTTTTGACAAGCTCTAGGGGAAATCCTTTAGTATTTCATCATCAAATACAAAGTTAGCTGAGGGTTTTTTTTAATAAATATTCTTAATTAAATTGCTTTTTATTCCTAATTTGCTAAAAGTTTTTATAATGAGTGTTCACTTTCATTAAATGCTTTTTCTGTGTTGAAACGATCATTTTTCTTCCTTATTCTTTTGATGTACGTTAAAATATGTTGGTTAAAAAAAAACAAAAGCAACAACAATTAACCAAGTTTGAATTCCTGGGTTAAACTGCTTGGTTATGATGTATTTTTATGTATTACTAAATTCATTTTACTAATGTATTCTTTCTTTTTTTTAAATTTTGAAGTGATTATAGATTCACAAAAAGTTGCAAAAATTCACTAATGTTTTCTTAAATTATTTTTGTCTATGTTCATGAAGGACTTATCTCTTCCTTTCTTGTCTTTGTGCCTTGTACAATTTTCATTTTTGTGATTTTTTGTTGTCATTTTCTGGTATCAGGATTATGCTGGCCTCATCAAATGTATTGGGTGTTATTCCCTCCTTTGTATGTTCTAGAAGAATTAGTGTAATTGGTATGACTTCTTCCTTAAATGTTTGATAGAATTCATAATTAAAACCATCTGGGCCCGGCCAGTGTGGCTCACTGGTTCAGCATCGACCCATGCACCAAGTG